TAGGATCAGCACTGAGCTGCTAACCACAAGGTTAGTGGTTCAAACCCACCAGTCACTCTTTGGAACTGACTCCAAGGCACTTAAAAACAACAGTAGTTATGTTGGAAAAAACCCTGGTGATCAACTTCCATAAAGAAACCCTACTGGGTAGTACTATGGTGGTTTTAATAACCTCATGTGCATGTGAAAGTTGGACAGTGAATAAGGAAGACTATAGAAAAACTCATGTATTTCAGCTATAGTGTTGGAGGAGAATATCGAAAGTACCATGGACTGCCAAAAGAATAAACAAATCTGTGTTGGAAGAAGTATAACTGGAATGCTCCCTGGAAGCCAGGAAGGTCTGACTCCATCTGTCATATGTTGGACTTATTGTCAGGAGGGACCAGTCGAGAAGGATATCGTGTTTGGTAAAATGGAGGGTGGGAGATAAAGAGGAAGACCCCCAACGAGATGGACTGGCACAGTGGCAGCAGTGATGAGATGGTCCAGGACCCGACAGTGTTTCGTTCTGTCGTACACAGGGTCACTGAGTTGGTACCAACTCAGCAGCATCTACAACTTGACGGCACCCAACCACATCTCTTTACAGTCAGGACTGAAGGCGGAATCAAGAAGACTTTTCTCCAGTTATTAAGATGAATATATACTTTTCATCTTAAATGTACATGTGGGGTGATATATGAGGTGAAATTAAACTTGCATTCTAGGATTAGCTCAACTTAATTTCAATGTTTCATGTTCAATGTTTCATATTGCTGAATCTGGTTTACTAATATATATTGTTCAGCATTATTTATACACCATTAAGTTAAGTGGTCTGTATTCTGTCATGTAAAATTACACCACCCTCATAAAAGAAGCCAGAGAGCCTTCCATCTTTACAGAAAATCTGGAATCGTTTGTTTTAAGAATGGCAAATATTATTGCAATGTTGGTAGAATCTACTGTAAATCTGTACCTCAAACTTTCTTTGTAAGAAGATTTTTTAAAACTACAGTTCGAGAGCTTAGAAGAGGGTCTCCCTTGAATCTTCAGCTAAGTAAGGCTCAACAAAGAAGAAAGTATTCAAGGCTATGGGAAAGATAGTCCCTGTTCCTATTAACCAATAGAAGCCCTCGTAATTCATGGAGCAAAAGGTATATGTGCAAAGAGTTTGTCTCAGTAGCAGGTTAAAATGAACCCAAGGATAAATGCTACTCTGGTTCTCAGCTAACAAAGCTTAAGACAAAGCTTGGAAAGGGTTAAACTATTATTTAACTGCATCCCAGAACAAAGTATAAGAATACAAAATATCATGCGAGCAAGAAAGTAAAAGTCATAATATCTAGTACCCAATCTAAAATTAGTAGGCATGCAAAAGAGTAAGAATAATATGGTCCATAAGGAGGAGAACTATTAATTAACTAAAAGTGACAGGACAGAATTAGTAGTCAATAAGTTATTATGACTGTAGTCCAGATATTCAAGAAACCAGAGAAATACTGACCATGCAGAGATATCAATGAAGATGGAAACCTTCAATGTCTAAAATAATAGAAAAATATATACTGGTTGGAATCAAAAGCAGATTAGACATTACAGAAGGAAAAATAGTACACATGAAGTCACAGTAGTAGAAAGTAGCAAAACAGGAATAGAGTGAGAGAGAAGACTAGGGGGAAAATCCCAACAGCAATCAAAGCCAAACTGAATACAGCTGCCGGACTACTCCAAGAAGCCTGATGTATGAAGAAGCTTCAAACAGTTTATGGAAAAAATTAAACCAAAGGACAATGGAATTGTTCCATGGATTTTTTAATGCTCCCTCCTATGTGTAATTTGAGTCCTAAATGGTGGGGAGGAAGAAAACGATAAATATATTTGAAGACATAACAGCTGAAATGTTTTAAATTTGATGAAAATTATAAGCATACATACAGATCCAAGAAGCTCAATGAATTCTAAGTGTAAGAAACATGAAGAAAACAAAACCCAGGCACATCAAAAGCAGTAAAATGAAAATTAGTTAAACGCAGTTAAGGGGAAAAAAAATACATTCTGTACAGAAGATCAAAGGGAAGAATGACAATAGAATTCTTGTGGACGCCATGCAAGTAACAGAGTCGGTGGAAAACTGTCAATCTAGAATTCTACACCCAGGTAAGTTAGCCTTTAAACTATAACGAACTTTTTCTTATGCCTCATGTGCTGTTTGAGTCAGCTCTGATTCAGTGACTTATAAGGTTTCCTAGGAAGCTCGTGGCTTTGAACTGCTGACTTTGTTGTTGGCAGTCCAGTGCTGATCTTACAGGCCATATATGAGGACATTTAAAACATTGATATTTAAAACAGGTCAATAAACATTCATTTAAACCTCAGATACAAAGATTGTCAAATTTAGTTACAATTGTTTCAACTAGTTTTTATTCTTTGATTGACCCAAATCCAGTAATCATACACACACACACACACACACACACACACACAATCTCATACAGCTTCTCATTGCAATTTTGTTTGCAATAGTAAAACAACTTAACAGGAGCCTTAGACATGTGTGTCTAAGAGTTACACCACCTCCTTTGCCCCATGCATATAGACCAAATCCCACCAGAAGTAACTGCTGTCTGCTTTTCTGCCTTAGGGCATTTTCCAAAGCAGGAGCTCAAGGTCAGTCAGCCAGGAAATGGGGTGTTAATGCCTCTAGAATAGTTGCTAATTATGAAAAACAGGAGCAGGTGAATAAACACCCTGTTCTGGTGTGGGCTGTGGGTTAATGCGCCAGACTGCAAAGCCATTTGAACTGCAAGGTCGGTGGTTCAGGCTCACCAGCTGCTCCTCAGAAACCCTATACAGGGTTGCTATGGATCGGAACCGACTCGCTGGCACTAACAACAATTCCATCCTTTATTTTATATTGAAGCATATTCTACACATCTTTTCAGAAGGTTCCCTGAAGAATGGAGACTCAGTGGCCCACAGCAGCAACTAGCTCAATAAAATACCCTTTATTGGCATTTTGTCCTTTCCTGTCTGACTCACCGAGCTCCCTCACTTCTGATTCCTGGGATCACATGCCAGACAAACTACCTGTATATAGTATCAGGTTTTGCTTTCAGGAGAATCCAAACAGAGACAAAACCACTATGCAGCCTCTAAGAAGACTAAGGCAGAACTTTATGTCCTAAGAGGGAATGAAGTCGATGATATACTATGAACAAAGGTGATAAGATATTGCATGACCCCACTTCTGTAAAAAAGAAAAGTTGTGGCCCTACAGGATAAGCACTGGACTGCTAACCGCAAGGTCTGCAGGTAAACCCACCAGCTTCTCCTCAGAAAAACCTATATGAAGGAAGGTTGCCATGAGTCAGTAGCACTAACAACATTATCTGTGGAGAAAGGCGCCTTGGTAGGCACTGTGGGATAAGCACTGGACTGCTAACTACAAGGTCAGTGATTCAAACCCAGCAGCCGCTCTACAAGAGGAAGATGAGGCTGTCAGCTCCTCTAAAGATGCGCAGTCTCAGAAACCCCAGGGAGCCGTTCCTTCTGCTCTGTCCAGGAGGGTCTCTCTGAGATGGAGACTAGAGGGCAGTGGGGTTTTTGTTTTTAAACATGTAAAGTAAATGCATTCAGGAAGCACTGGCAAAACACAAACCAAATTGTTTAACACTTTATCTCTAGGGAAAGCCATCTGGAATGTAAGAAAACTTTCACTAAAAAACGGTCATCGGTCATATTTTTAATAGCAAGAACAACAATAATAGCTAATATCCACTGAGTGCTTCCAATATTCCAGGCACTCGTCTAAGCTCTTTAGGTGTATTGACTAGTTGAATCTTCACAATAGCCTGAAGGAGTGTTAGAATGATTCCTGTTTTATACACAAACTGAGAAAGCTCGATTGTTATTCCTACAGGTAATAGGCAGCAGGGCTAGATCTGAGTCCTAGCAGTCAGCCTTCACAGAGCTCACTCCTAACCACTCTTACATAGCTTTCCTAAGCGTATTATTTTATAACTGAAAAATATACAGTATGTTACAACTATATTTGAAAGTCATCAAACAACACAATGTAGCCCACATCCAATTTGATAAATTACCTGATGATTAACACACGTCAAATGCTCAATCGTCTCCTCTAATTCTGATTTTCCCAAAAGATTCTTTTCTTGGAGGTTCTGAAAGAAACATTTTTAAAAAAGGTTCATTTATATTAGATAATGAAACAAAATGATCAAAGTAAGGGATACAAGTCTATAGTATTATTTTATTCTATTTGTCTTTTTATAGCCATAGAAATGTTCTAGAAAGAAACCATTAAATATTTATAAAGCAAATTTTTTGGTTAAACAACAAAACAAACCTACAACAGTTGTCATTTATACACTCTCCCTCTACATGTGACTGTAAGAGAAACACAGATGGTTACGGACTGATTTATAAAGATTTATACTGACTATAATTCATTAACACAACTATAAAGGGGAAAAAGCAGGTTAAGTATCAAGCTCAGAAATATGCCCTCACAAAAGGGAATCTAAAGAACACAGTGCATAGGAGAAATGATGAAGCTAGAGAGACGGGGAACAGAATGCTACTGGGCCATGCAAGAGATCAGCATTCCTAGAATGACCAGGTCAAGAGTGTAATACAAGGGCTGTTTTCTGACTATATTACCTTAATTAGATTCTTGTGGTTGCTAAATCTAGGCTTAGCAGACATCCATCAACTGATACGTGGAAAGATAAAATACTGCAATATTTTAAAATTGGGAAAGGTGTGCAACAAGGTTGTGTTCTTTCACCATACTTATTCAACCTGTATGCTGAGCAAATAATACAAGAAGCTGGGTTCTATGAAGAAAAACGTGGCGTCAGGATTGGAGGAAGACTCATTAACAACCTGTGATATGCCAATGATACAATCTTGCTTGCTGAAAGCGAAGAGGACTTGAAACATTTACTTATGAAGATCAAAGAGCACAGCCTTCGGTATGGATTGCATCTCAATGTCAAGAAAACAAAAATCCTCACCACTGGACCAATAAACAACATTCTTATCAATGGAGAAAAGATTGAAGTTGTCAAGGACTTCATTCTTCTTGGATCAACTATTAACACTCGCGAAGCAGCTGTCAAGAGATCAGACGACGTATTGCATTGAGCAAATTTGCTGCACAGGAACTTTTTAAAGTATTGAAGAGCACAGATGTCAGCTTGAGGACTAGGGTGCACCTGACCCAGGCCATTGTGTTTTCAATAGCCTCATATGGATGCGAAACCTGGACAGTGAATAAGGAAGATCATAGAAGAATTGATGCCTTTGAGTTGTGATGTTGGAGGAGAATACTGAAAGTGCCATGGACTGCCAAAAGAACCAATAGATCTGTTTTGGAAGAAGTGCAGCCAGAGTGCTCCTTGGAGGCCGAGATGGCTAAGCTTTGTCTCTCATACTTTGGACATACTGAACGGAGGGAACAGTCTCTGGAGAAGGATGTCATGCTGGGTGAGGTGGAGGGTCAAAGAAAAAGAGGAAGACCCCTATGAGATGGATCAGCCAGGTGGCATCATTGATGGCGTCAAGTGTGGCAGCGGTAGTGAGGTTGGCCCAGGATCGGACATTGTTTCGTTCTGCTGTGCATGGGGTCGCTATGAGTCTGTTCTGACTCGATGGCACCTGACAACAACAACAACATTCACTCACAGGAATATAACTCAGCAATAAAAAGGAATGCAGTACTGACACATGTTACAATGTGGACGGACCTTGAGAACATGAGTGCTAAATTAGAGAAGCAGATACAAAAGTCTACATAGTGCCTGATTTCACTTCAGTGAAATGTCCACAATACCTCAATCTAAAGACAGAAAGTATTAGTTTAGGTGAGTTATCTCTGGTGGCACAGTGGTAAAACACTGGGCTACTAACCGAAAGGTCAGAAATTCAGCTGCTCCACAGAAAAAAGACCTGGCAATCTTCTGCTATAGGGTTCTATGGTGACACTGCAGGACAGAGTAAAAACATAGGTTCCCAAAGCAACAACAACATAGGGTCACTGCTGTGGCTCTGTGGGCTAATGCGCTGGACTGCAAAGTCAGTTTGAACCTCAAGGTCGGTGGTTCAAGCTCACCAGTCGCTCATTGGAAATCCTATATAGGATCGCTCTGGGTTGGAACTGACTCGATGGCACTTAACAACAACATAGGGTTACTATGAACTAATTCTCTGTGAATTGGTTTGGAATTTTTTGGTAGGGCTGAGAGGCTTGAGAGGCAATGCTAAGTGGAACAGGGTTTCTTTCTCAGATGGAGATGTTCTAGAATTAGGTAGTGGTGATGGTTCAAAAACTCTGTGAATATACTTTAAAAGGGTCAATTTTATACTATGCAAACTACATTTTTAAAAAGCTCATGCATACAATATATTATATATATAGTTGCTGTTGTTGTACAGTGCCTTCGAGTCATTTACAACTCCTAGCAACTGTGAACAGGATTTCTGAGGCTTTTTAAATCTTTGCAGGAACAGAAAGCTTTATCTTTCTCCCGTGGCGGAGTGGCTGGGGGGGTCCAACTGTGAGCCTTGTGATTTGCAGTCCACTGCTTATCCTGAGGAGCCACCAGGCTCCTTATATATATGTATGTATGTGCATATATAAATCGCTAGACCTCTGAGTCAATTTGAACCCCAAGGTTGGTGGTTCAAATTCACCAGCCGCTCCTTGAAAATTCTGTAAATTCATAGGGCCACTATGAGTTGGAACTGACTCAATGGCACAAAACAACAACATACACACACAGAAAGAGAGAGTGTGTGTGTGTCCTGGTGTGGCACTATGATAATGCACTGGATCACAAGGTTAGTTTGTACCGCAAGGTCAGTGGTTCAAATCCACCAGCTGCTCCTTGGAAATACAGGGTCACTATGAGTTAGAACAGATGCAAAGGCACTTAGCAACAACACATATGGTTGAGGGGTGGGCACTAGAGACCTACAAACACTGTGACCTGTGTGCAGCAGAGGCTGAAGTGATGGCGGTCTTGGCACCTTTACTTACACTGGCGTATTTGGTGCCATGATTTTTCACGATGGTCGTCAGTCCTGTCAGTCCTGTTTTCTGCTTCTTTTTTACTCATTAAGGGAGCTGCATCTGCTCTGACAAAGTCTCCACACGCAACGCAAAGATGGCAACCTGTGTGACTAATGGGATGAGTGGCTCTCATCTGGGACCCTGAAATCTTGAAACTCCCTGCCCCATTGGGCTTCACCTTTCTGAGGACATCTGAGGTCCCAAAGCTGTCATGGGCTTATGGACTATTAGAGGATATGGCTAGGCCATCATTGAGTCTAAGATGAGAAAACAGGAAGGAATGATTGTCTTAGAGTTGCACAGCTAGTGAGTTATAAAGCCTGCCCAATAGCCCAGGGTTATCTGACTCTCGAGACCAGATCTCTTTATGTGTCATCTACCAAAACGTGTACATTTTAAAGTCCTTAAAGCTCTTGGCTGCTCCATTAAGTAAAGGATCCTAATAAGTCAGTGACAGAAATAAGGCAAGCAGTAAAATTCCCGTTTTACTGGTGAAGAAATTGATCTCAGCATAGTTGGGCAACTTGTCCAAGGTCACACAAGATGAGTGGCTGGGACATGAAACCATTCTTCTGTTCTGTACAGTATCTGCCTACTCTACTAGCCATTTCTTATTTCAGGACTCATTTCGAGTGCACCTTGGCAGTTCAAACCCACCCAGTGGCTCTGACAGAGAAGTGACTGGAAATCTGCTCCGATAAACATTTCCAAACCAAACCTACTGCTGTCCAGCAATTTTGTCTCACAGCGACCCTCTAAAAGAGGGAAGAGCTGCTCTGTAGGGTTCTGAAGCTGGGAGTCCTGGTATGGTGCTATGGCTTAATACGCTGGTCTGCAAAGATGGTTTGAACTGCAAAGTCGGAGGTTCAAGTTCACTAGTTGCTCCTTGGAAATCCTATACAGGTTGCTGTGAGCTGGAACCAACTCAACGGCACTTAACAACAAATGTCTATGGAAGCAGATTGCCTCACTTTCTCCCATATAACAGTTGACGGATTTGAACCACCAACCTTTTGGTTAACCCACTGTGGCAACAGGGCTCCTCCTGTAAAGACAGTTGTTAACCACCACTGAGTCAGTGCCAACTCATAGTTACTGTGTATAGGGTTTCTGAGAAGTGGCTGGTGGGTTTGAAACGACCTTGCATCTAGCAGTTCTGTGCTTTCCCTACAGCACCACACCAGGACAGCCTAGAAAACCCTATGTGGCACTTCTACTCTGTTATATGGGGTCACTATGAGTGGAAATCAATTCCACAGCATCCAACAACAATACCACAAATAGATAATGTTCCTGCACATAAAGAACTTCCTATTGAGTTCAGGGTATGGAAAACATTTTCTGTAAAGTACCAGATAAAAGATATTTTAGGTTTTGGGGGCCACAACTACTCAATTCTGCCATTATAGCACAAAAGAAACCACAACAACCCGTAAACCAAAGAGGGTGCTGGTCCAATGACTATTTACGGACACTGATATAGGAATTTCATACCATTTTCATGTGTCATGAAGTATTCTTATTTATTTGCTATGATTTTCACTCATTCAAAATATAAAAACCACACTTAGTTCCTGGCTGTACAAACACAGGAGTGGGTAAATCTGGCCAGAGTGCCACAGTATACCAATCCTCCTGACCCAGTTGTTGTAAATTGCAGCGTCACAGGAACATGAATATAAGAATCTCCCTGCAATTACGTATGGTGGTGGTGGTGGTAGTTAGGTGCAATAACGTATAACGGTAGTCATAAAGACTACTCTTAACAATGCTTACTTATTTACATTCCTAATTTTAAACTCTTGAGCTGCGGGTGGGTTTAAACCACTGATCTTACAGTTAATACTAAATGCTTTAACCCTTATACCACCAGGACTCATAAACAATTTTTAATAGGAACTTACCTTTACTTTTTCTCTTAAAGCTTCCTTTTCTACCATAATTCTTCGTAAATCAGATAATGCATGTTCTTTTTCCTGTTCCATAAGACTAACAATATTTGGGGAGACTGAGGATTGGGTGGATTCCTGTTGTCTTAGTGTACACAATTCTTCTTGAGCCTTTAAGAATTTAAAGACAAATTAATATAAAATACTTTGGATATACTCCCAGGTTAAAAAAACAACAAAATGCACACACACTCACACAAAAGCACACATTGAGCACACACTGCTGTTGCTCCCTTTCCAAATTCCAACAGAATGAGAATAAAATAATTGTTGTTAAGTGCTGTCGAGTCAGCACCAACTTAAAGCAACCCTATGCACAGCAGAAACACAACACTGCCCAGTCCTGCACCATCCTTGTAACTGTTGTTATAGCTGAATCCATTGTTGCTGCCAGTGTGCCAACCCATCTCCTTGAAGGTGCTCCTCTTTCTTGTTGACCCTCATTGTTCCTAGCATGAAGTCCTTTCTCCAGGGACTGGTACCTCCTAAAAATATGTCCAAAGTACAAGAGGCAAAGTCTTACCATCCTGGCTTCTAAGGAGCATTCTAATTGCACTTTTTCCAATACAGATTTATTTGTTCTTTTGGAAGTCCAAGATACTTTCAGAATTTTTTGCCAACAATATAATTTATATGCATCAATTTTTCTATGGCCTTCCTTATTCATTGTCCAACTTTCACATGCATATGGTTGTTGGTGGTGGTTATGTGCAGTGGTATCAGTTCTGACCCATAGCGACCCTGTACAGGGTTTCCGAGGCTGTAAATCTTTACAGGAGCAGAAAGCCTCATCTTTCTCCCGCAGAACAGCTGGTAGTTTGGAACTGCTGACCTTAAGGTTCACAGCCCAATTCGTAACCACTACGCTACCAGAGCTCCTCCACATGCATATGAGGCTACTGAAAATACCTGGCTTGGATCAGTTACACCTTAGTCCTTTCTTGAAAAATTTAAAGAGGTCATTTGCAGTAGATTTGCCTACTGTGATACATCTTTTAATTTTTTGAATACTGCTTCCATGAGCATTGGTTACAGAATAAAACCTTTGTCAACTTCAATATGTTCTCCATTTACCGTGATGTTATTTATTGGTCCCATTGCAGGGATTTTCATTTTCTTTACAATGAGGTGCAGTCCACAATGAAGCTTTCGATTTTTATCAGTAATTATTTTAAGCCCTCTTTCCTTCCAGTACGCAAGGTTGTATCATCTGCATATCGCCAGTTAACAAGTCTTCCGCCAATTCGGATGTCACGTTTTTCTTCATACAATCCAATTTCTTGGATTATTTGCTCAGCATAGACATTGAATAAATATGATGAAAGGATATAACCCTGTCGCACACCTTTCCTATTTTTAAACCACTCAGTGTCCCTTGTTCTGTCCAAACAACTGCCTCTTGGTCTATGTACAGGTTCCTCATGAACACAACTAAGTAATCTGTGGAGTACTCATTCTTCACAATGGTATCCACAGTTTGTTATGATCTACACAAGAGCCTTGGTGTGGCGCTGTGAATAAAGCACTAGACTGCAAGATTGGTTTGAACCACAAGGTCGGTGGTTCAAACTCACCACTCGTGCCTTGGAAATCCTATACAGGGTTGCTATGAGTCGGAGCTGACTTGACAGCACTTAACAACAACACAGCCAAATGCCTTTAGTCAATAAAACACAAGTAAACATCTTTCTGGTACCCTCTATGGCATCCCTAGTTCCACGTTCTCTTCTGAATAAAACTTCTGGCAGCTCACTGTCGATGCAGTGCTGCAATCAATTTGGAATATTTTTAGCAGATTTTTTCTTTCATATGATTGTATTCAATCTGTATTCAATCAATTCTTGGAGCCTTGTTTTTCACCATTTCCTTAGGTGCTCCTTAGACTTCCATTTTCAGTACCATTGGTTTTTGATCGCATGGTACCTCCTGAAATGACTGGACATCGACCAATTCTTTTTAGTTCCATGACTCCGTGTATTCTTTCCATATTATTTTTATGCTTCATGCATAATTTTCAATATTTTGCCCATAGAATTATTACAACTTGATGCTTGAGTTTTTTTCTTTAGTTCTTTCAGCTTGAGTATGTTGAGAGAGTTCTGCCATTTAGATTTTCTAATCCAGGTCTCTGCACATTTAATTTTAATACCTGACTTTGGCTTCTTGAGCTCCTCTTTGAAATTTTCTGTTTAGCTCATTTACTTCACCATTTCATCCAGTCACTTTAGCTTTTCTATTTTAAGAATAAGTCAGAGTCCCTTCTGACATCCAATTTGGTCTTTTTCTTTCTTTCTTGTCTTTTTAATGACCTTTAACTTTCTTTATAAATGATGTTCTTGATGGTGTCCCCAAACTTGTTTGTTTGGTCATCACTGTCTAATGCAGCAAATCTGTTCTTGAGGTGGTCTCTAATTTCAGGTGGGATATACTCAAGGTCATATTTTGGTTCTCATGAACTTGTTTTAAGTTTTTTCAGCTTCAGCCTAAACTTGCATGTGAGCAATTGATGCTCTGTACCATAGGTAACCTTAGTCCTGTTTTGGCTGATGATACTGAACTTCACCATCGTCGCTTCCCACAGACACAGTCAATTTGACTCATAGGCATTCTATCTGGTGATGTCTATGTGTATAGTCACAGTTGACGTTTTTGAAAAGGTATTTGCAATGAATAAGTCACTGGTCTTTCAAAATTCTATCATGCAATCTCCAGCATCATTTCAACACCACCATATTTTCCAATTATCAATCTTTCCAACTTTCCCATTCCTATTACTAGTAGTTATTAGTGCATCTTAACTGCATGTTTGATTTTCAGACTGAAAAAATTGGTAAAATTCCTTAGTTTCATCATCCCTGACTTTAGTAGTTGGTGCATAAATGAATAATAGTGATATTAACTGGTCTTCCTTGTAGGCGTGTATACTATCACATAGTACTGCACTTCAAGATAAATCTTGAAATGTTCCTTTTGATGATGAATGTGATGCCACTCCTCTGCAGTGTATCATTCCCACCATAGTAAACCATATGACTGACTGTTCAATTCAATACAGCCAATACAAGTCCATTTCAGCTCACGAAGACCCAGGATGCCCATCTTTATGTATTCAATTCAGTATCTGACAACTTCCAATTTTCCTAAACTCATACTTTGTGCAATCCATGTTCCAATTATTGATGTTCACAGTTCTGTCTTCTCATTTTGAGTTGTGTCACACATCAGCAAATGAAGGTCCCGAAAGCTTTACTCTACCCACGCCATTAAGGCCTACTCAACTTTGAGGAGGTAGCTCTTCCCCAGCTATATTTTGCATGACTCCCCACCTGAGGGGCTCATCTTCCAGCACTATATCTGACAATGTTCCCACTTCCATTCACAAGATTGTCAGGAGCTAACCATTCAGAAGTCATTCACCTCTTCTTCCTAGTCTTGTCTTATTCTGGAGGCTCTGCTAAAACCTGTGCACCTTGGGTGACCCTGCTGGTATTTAAAATACCAGTGGCATACCTTTCAGTTTCACAGTAACCCATGAGCCACTACAGTGTAACACGCTGACAGACAAGCAGTGGTATAACTAAGAAATAACAATAAAACTAAAAGATAGGGAAGTTGCAGGAAGTACCAGTCATAAACTTTTGGAAACTTATTTATGGATAAGTAATCATTAATAAGGTCGACCAAAGACAGTGAGAGTAAGCCTATAGTGGAGACAGCCCCGAAATGGAGCATTCAGCATTGTAGGACCTAAAAAAAGCTCAAAATGTCTTTTCCTTTCTAAGTAGCAGTTGTTGTTATTGTTAAGTGCCATCGAGTTGGTTCTGACCCACAGCGACCCTCTGGAGGGTTTCCAAGGAGAGACTGGTGAGCTTGAACCACCAACCTTGCAGTTCAAACCAACTGTGCAGTCTAGCGCATTAACCCACAGCGCCACACCAGGACTCCAAAATTGTATGTTGTTATTGGTTAAGTCACCATGGAGTCGGTTCCGGCTCATCACTATGAAACACCTGTACAGGGTTTCCAAGACTACTACGCTACCAGAGCAAAAGAAGTTCATAAAATGGCAAGAGGCTTTGTTACTACTCCTCTCTTCTGCTAGAGAATTTTTCTACTCAAGTGGAGATCTTGATATCCAATCTACCTAATTAGTGAGCTCTACCCAATACTCTGGTAGCGTAGTGGTTATGAATCAGGTTGCAAATCTTATGGTCAGCAGTTCGAAACTACCAGCTGTTCTGTGGGAGAAAGATGAGGCTTTCTGCTCCCGCAAAGATTTATAGCCTTGGAAACCCTGTACGGGGGTCGCTATGGTTTGGAACCAATTCGACAGCACTTAACACCACACACACACACCAAATGCACGGGACTGCACGGTTGGTTTGAACAGCAAAGTCGGTGGTTCGAACTCACCAGCAGCTTCTTGGAAACCCTATACAGGGTTGCTATGAGTTGGAATCAACAGCATTCAACAACAGTTACAACAACACATGGTTCTATCGGACATGCCCAACATGTCTGAAAGGAGCTCTGGTAGCACAGTGGTTACAAATCGGGCTGTGAACCTTAAGGTCAGTAGTTCGAAACTACCAGCTGTTCCATGGGAGAAAGATGAGGCTTTCTGCTCCTGTAAAGATTTACAGCCTTGGAAACCCTGTACAGGGTCCCTATGAGTCGGAACTGACTCCACGGCACATAACAACAACAACAACAACATGTCTGAATCTCTAAAATAACAACGTCTCAAAGTAAGTGACCTGTTGGAGATCGTCTGAGAAGGTCTCTAACTGATCTGACACATAATTTAGAAAAGAAGAATACATGTAAAAAAATAAAAGAAGTTCCTGTTTTGGGAGCAGGATGATAGTACAAGAGACTATAATTCTAATTAAGAAGGACTATGACAAGGAGTCCTGATACGATGCTTTAGGAGTCCTGATACGATGCTTTAGGATAAGCACCGGACAGCTAACTCTGAGGATGGCAGTGCAAACCCACCAGTCACTCCTCAGAAACCCTGTACAGCGTTGCTACGAGTCGGAACTGACTTGACAGCATTCAACAGCACATATATTCATTTGAAGGACATACATTGGTTTCATTACAGTTCACTGGTTCTATAGAATCCTCTGACTTAGTTATAATTAACGTCTTACTTGATCATATAGGATACTTAGTTTATCTCTTTCTGCCGTCAATAATTTAACATTGGACTGTATTTCCTCCATATGTTTTTCAAATCTTTCTAGCATACAATGAAGTTCATCTCTTTCTCTTGTGATCAGACGAATTTCGGAGTTGTAATCACCCTGAAACATAATTAGAAAACAGAAATGATCATTTGCTATAATTATCACTGCACATGGCTGTCACAGGATGCTAGTTATAACCAGTAAACCAGCTGATGCTGAGTCCAATCCAGCTTATGATGATTCCCTGTGTGTCACAGCTGAACTGTGCTCCACTGGGTTTTCACTGCCTGAGTTTTCAGAAGTAGATTGTCAGACTGTCGTCAGAGATGCTCTGGGTGAACGTAAAACTCCAACCTTTTAATTAGTAGCAAAGTGTGGTGACTGTTTGCACTGCTCACTCCTTAATGGCATAAACGAACACAATTTTTATCAGTAATGAAAGCCTCCACGAGAAAGACACCCTGGCAATGTTGGGGCAAGTTCCCTGACCTTCAAGTTCCCCCAGAAGGGACTCAGCTGCCGACAATAATACATGCCCAGTCCCATCATATTCTTCCACTGTTCTCTCTGGGAATTGTTTATGCTAGCGGTACTTCACATGTGGTACCCATGCCCACGGTATAGAGGAACTTGTTAGACGTGCAAAATTTAGGGACCATCCCACACCAACTCCACTTGATTCTAAAGCATGCTAATTTTTGATTGTTTGTTTCTCTTTTTATTTATTTGTTTTTTGTACTTTTACTTTTTTATTGTGAATTGAGTGAAGATTTACAGAGCAGACCATCAGTGTTAAATTCAGCAAATCATATACTTTGCTAGGTTACAATGATTGCAATCCCCTCCAGGTACCACCAGTTAACAGTATTTAACTTTAACTCTTGCTTTCCTCCCCGTGTCTTAAGTCATCTTTCCTCCTATTATCTTTTTTTTTTAAGGTTTTTATCGTGGATCGAGTGAAAGTTTACAGGGCAGATCATCAGTTCTACATTCAACAAATCATATACCTAGTTCATTACAGTGACTATAATCCCCTCCATATACCATCAGTTAACAGTACTTCTCTATTCACTGCCTTTTTAAAAAACAAAAACAAAAACAAAACACTCAGGTATATATAATTTATATCTCTAAAGGGTGCATTCTACAAGTCTGCCTCCTGGCCACCAGCTCTTAGTCCCTCTCTTCCCATGAATCTAGAGTCCTCTGCTACTACCCCTCTCCATGACTCCATCTCAGGCTTCATCTCTGGCATCACTGCTTTTCTGGATAAGGTCTCACATTCTGCTTGTGCTCTTCTCCCTTGATGGTCCTAGGGTCCTGTTTCTGAACTGTTTAAGATTAACCACTCCTCTGTTTTTGTTACAAAACCTCTACCTTTACAATTGTGACAGTCCCAATTAGTCATGATAACAAATATTCACTATTGAATCATACAAATTTTATCCCCATCTCTTTTAATGAGACCCATCTAGACAAGATGAAAACTATTCATTGGGGATTCTTTCTCCCCCGCCCCACACTCTTAAACTAAACTTTCTCTTGAAACCTTGTAAGCCAGTCATTTTGTGCTTTTATTACCCCCTCATTTTAGGTAGCCAATGTCTACGTTGCCCGTCCCTATCTACCCTGTGTACAGAGGGGA